ATTTATAAAACTTAATGACTCTACAACTTCAAAACTAAGACCAACTAAATTTTCATGAGCATTATCATGACTCGTTAGATAAACTGGTGCGGAATTCAAATGTAAGTTATCTAACGTTTTGGATACTATTGATAAGCATGCAATTAGGATTGATAAGATATTGTATTCATGAGTTACCTTTCTAAGTTTAACTCTCTATGAAGAACAATCAAAACTATTTGTAGGCATCTCCTCCATAAACATATAGGCCTCTTTAGAAAGTATTGATATTAAAGACCCCCAGATTGTAACATGTATTATAGACTTCAATGATCTCACACATGGTCATAAAATATTTGTATAATTAACCAATGAGGTAGGGCATGTTGTGGAAATTTCTTAAGAAGCTCTTTAAATGTCTCCCAGGCTTCATATATTTACTCACACTATCTATTTGGGTAAAAAATGTAATATTATTTATAGTTTGACAATTTGAGAAGGTGAAACTATTTAGCTTGGAATTTCTAGGTTAAGTTATTCCAAGTGGTTATGTATACTGGTGCAAATGTGCCAAGCTACAATTAATCGTCTCTAAGAGAAAATGAAAATAACATATATCTAACAATGTTATTTGGGGGACCTTTATCCCTAAAGTCACACCAAATTTTAGGAAATTAGCTAAGTGTAAATTTACCAATTACTTCAAGACTTGCACCATCTCTGAACAAATATGGTGCAGAGATGGTCTCCAAGTCATTCATAAAAGGTCATAATTTGGTGTAATGACAAACTTGCAAGGTCATTATGCATAGGAAATTAGCTATAAAAGGTCATATTTATAGCTAATTTGTCAATAGCTAAGAAATTCCTACATAATTTTTCATTTCTTCCAATTACTTCAAGACTTGCACGTTTTATAAGTTTTTTTAACAATTTTTTAAATCATTTCAAAGTCAAACAACCTTAATTTAATAGATACAGTCCTATGCATATAACATAGGACTAACTAAGACTCTACAGTAACAAGTAAAACAATATACAATATATAAGTATTAACAAACACAATTAATCAAATCATGTAAAAAAAGTAAATAACACAAGTCACAATATTTAGGATTTTCTAAAACTTAAATATCTATAAAACAACACATAATACACAATTAAAAAAACACGGTAGTTTTTAAACCTGAATTTTAAATTCTGAACAAATATGCTCCTAAATTCTCCTAAATTGAAAAACTAACATTGTTCCTAAGTAAAAATGCCAAAAGCATGATCTGAAATATGTTGAAATACTTGTTATCAGACAGATATACATGCTGCTGAAGTTGTATACAAATTATAAATCTTTTATCAATCTTACTAGGAATGAGTTAAATTCTCAAGTATTCCAATTACTAGTTTATTAGCCCTAAGTTAAGTTCAAATTGATAAAGATTTTTAAGGTTTTAAAAGTGTAAAAATTCTAATTTTAAAAGAAAAGCTATTGTTAAGGGAAATAAGTTTTATTAGGTATAAATGACTCCCTTGAATTAGTTCAATGAATTCTAGACTCCTCCACGAGATTTTTTTAGCATAGTTGCCAAACGAGGTCTTATACTTCTTCCTCCTTTCCAAAATATAATAAGCATTGGAATCCAATATTATAGTTAGGCTCCTCAAACCCTGCAAGAATTTTCAAGTATCCACATTAGCCATTAAGTTTGCTGGCAATATTGCAATATTCCTATTCCATTAAACTCTTTTCTTTTAATGTAAATGTGATTCTAGTCTTCTACCAAAAATAATAAAATACAACTAGTTTTAACTTCCAAATGAATAATTTAAATGTAAATTAAGTTTGGAAGGTTAAAACAAAAACTTAAAATCATATGAAAGTTTTAAATGTCTACCATAGATTCTTTTAATTCTTAAAGAATTTCAATCTAAGGGTGCAAACGAGTTTAAGTGCTACACATGATTTTGAAAGAAAATATATTTTTCAATAAAGGAAATCAAATCAAGATACAAAGTAAAGAGATAAAAATAAGGCTTTGTTGTATCACTTAATTCTAAGTTTTGATTACCACCCAATATCTCTTCCTCACTTTATTACAACTTGTTCTCACACTCACACTAAATAGAAAGAAAAATAATCTCAGACTACGACATGTGATCCTCAAAACTTGTCCTTCAAATTTCTTTTCCTCTTCCTTGGAGAGTCCTCCTAAAAGTGTGTTTTGTATCCTCTATGCGCGTCTCCTTTTTCTTCAGATTGACACTTTATTCTATAATGAAATGACACATTAATTTACACTCGCGATAATGAAAAAATAATTCTCACACAATCTAAGGACTCTCTCTAACATGGACCTCCTCCAAATATTCTTTAATTCACTTCATATATCTCTATTTCTTGTTGAACCGTAGAAGAAAACAATAAAATATACTTCAGTTGATGGGAGACTCGACGACGTTGAGGCACTGATGTGGTGACACCAAGCATGTCCCACTTATGTGGGACATGACAATGTTTGATTTCATTACTGGAATCCTTAATTCAAGGCTTAAATTGCCTTATTATTGACACTTGTAGTGCGATGACACTAGTATTGGGAGATGGGGTGCTTGGGGCCTGTTGTAGCGTGTTCTATATTTTTTGTTGGAATTGGCTTCATTGGGTGCTAGGGTGCTCATCTGGATGCCCCCGAGAGGTTGTTCTTCTAGCGATAGGATCCTTCCTCCAGGTGATAGAAAATCATCTTATCCATTGGGAGGCACTATCCATGGGCATCGGGGTACTTGCTTGTTGATTATATATATATATATATATATATATTCTAGAAAAGCATAAAAATGACACATAAAAGGTATGAGAAAAAAATCTATGAATACATCAACAAATTTTGTACACATCAAGTGCCCAACTATAACCATATTTTACCTCTCAAGATTGCACCAAGGGGTTGCTCCCTCCATAACAATGTATATAAAGTTGATGTAAATGATCTTTTAAGGTTATAGTGAAGTGCACCCTCAACCTAAAATAGATTGCGATATATGATAATGTTAAAGTTACAATTATGGTCAAACAGTAACAATAGTAATAACAACAATAGTGGCTGTTTGATACTTTTAGTAAGACGTTGATTTAGCTACTACGGTTTGATGGTTCAATGTTAGTTGCGGTGAAAACAATCCAACAATGATGACAGGAAGAACAAATGTGTAACACTAATATTTTTAAGAGATCAACATCTTTACTTAATTTGCCGTCACCAACAATATTATGATTTTCTGGTAAAGAATGAGCATAGATCTAACTTGATATGCCTTGCGCCAATAGGATTACATATGTCTTAGAGAAAAGGAGTAGATACTTAAGGTCTTTGTTTTTGAGATTGTTTGTTGGATAAGGAGGCTCTTTTATTACAAGTATTACTACTATTGGTGATCACAAGAATGCTTGTGAAGTTTGCAAAGGTTTGATAATTTCTAACAGATGACGACAAAATGTTTTGTACTAAAAAATTCATGATGGTAGAATACACGAGCTTATCATCTTAGACTTGTACAAAGGTCACACACACACAGAAAAAAAAGTACACGAGTCAACAAATAGTTTTTACGAGAAAACTAAAAGAGAGAAAAATCATGGGGTCTAGCCTAGTGAAATAATTTCACTATATAGATGAGTTATAAGATTCATGGTTTTAAAATCACATCAAACCGGCCGATTTGACAAATTCTAGTATTAACGGTCATTCAACTAGTTCGATCCTAGCTCAAAACTACTTGAATCGATCATTCAGCTGGTTTGGTCCAAGCTCAAAATTGTTTTTGTATAGAATAATGATTGGTTAGGTCGAAATTAAGTTTATTTTTTTTATAGAATAATGATTGGTTAGGTCGAAATTAAGTTTGAACTGGTGAACTGGTACAGTTTTTAAAGAACCGATCAATTCAAGTATTGCCCAATTTTACCTTTTTAATTTTGATTGGATGGCCAAAATTAAGATATTTAAATTAAAAATAGAGAAAATAATGTGTTTTAAATTTTTTATTCTACCATTTAAATCATAAAAAATTAATTTAAATGTTTGTTATATCATCAGATATATATTCTGATTATCATTGAACCTTGAACCTTTTCCTTCCTTTGGTTTAATCTATGGTCCGATTTTCACGACCTTGATAAAAATTTCATCACTCCCTTAAATAATGGAATGTTTTGTTATAAGAGCCTGGAATGCTAATTTGGTTTTCTTCAAAAATGGTGAAAAGTGATGAAAATATAAAGACAATTTGGCGATAATGGCAATAATAATTAAGCGACGATGGCTTGTGATTGTGGTGGCATTCGAACAACAACAATCTGGCTATATCAACAATAGCGCTGTGATGGTTGTCAAAGAAGATGATGGCAACTGAGCAACGATTATTTTTCAATTCTAACGACCGAGGGCAACGGTAGTGACAACAAGTCACCGATTGTTCAAAGTTGATTGTCAATAGTCACTAATTTTTAAAATATGAACTTAGCCTTAAGTTCTTCTCCCTCCTCCCTTCATGTTGAATTAGAAGGGATACTTTAATAAATTTAATCAAAATCACATAACACAACATTGAAATTTCCATGTTGATTCATTTAATCATAAATCTTTCCTTTAAATTTTAAATGTTTTAATGACTTTACAATTAAGTGATCTTGAGCCCATTGAATTCTTTTAATCGATATACTCAATTTGATTATAAGAATGCCAATTTTAGAGATTATTTGATCTTTTAATTAACACTTCAAGGCTCCAATTATATTACAAGTGTTTGATTTGAGTTCATTTGGCTTTTTAGATCCAATTGCCATTGTGTTTGTATTGTGTTTGTATTGTCAAAATGTTCACTTTGGCTATAAAGTTGGTGAAATAAAAAAGCAATAAATTTGGCACAGTCAAGAATTATTAATTTTATGAAAAAAGAAGAAAAAGGAACAGTCATTAACTACTTATGGAGCCAAGATTAAAAATTATGTTAACTTGCAAAACTTGCTAACAACAACCATTAACAATCAGTAATTAGAATTAAAAACCTCACCAAACAAAGCTCACACTAATCAACCATTAAACAACTACCCCTTGAACAAACCAGAAAAAAAAAAAGGAAATTCACAGCATTATCAGTCAGTTACTCTAAAAAAGTCTCCATAATATCAGAATATATCCCTGCCTCGGAGTTCCTATACTCCATCCCCTGAGTCCCGCCCGACGACGACGACGAACTCATCCTCGCCGGCAAGGTAAAACTCTTCTTAAACTTATCTCCCTCCGCCTTCCTCGCCTTACCAGAATGGCTCTGTTCCAAGCTCAAATATTCCTCCGCTCCCCCACCGCCACTTCCACTCTCCTCTGCCTTCCCTTCATCTGCGCACGCGTTCTTTCCCGCCATCAAAAGCTGTAATTGTTGTTGATGGTGGTGGACTAGCGGCTTGCTTCCGAGCCCGTCGGAGCCGAAGAGGAGCTTGGCATCGTCGGTGCGGCCGGTGAGTGCATTGAAGAAGGAGAGGCCGTTAGGCCATTTGAGATCAGCTTCGTGATCGGCAATCATGTCGTCGCCGGAATGGGGGAGAAGGAAGAGGTGGGTGTCATCTTTATTGATCGCCGGAGGGATTCTGGAGGAAGGGTGGAAGGTTTGAGAGGCCTGCGAGGCGGATGAGAATGGAGGGTGAGTCCAGTTGAAAAGAGGTGGAGGTGGGCGGGATGGAGCTTGTTTGAGGGGAGGCGGTGGTGGTGAAAGATTGGTGTTTCTGGTGGAGGAGAAGAGCTGGGAGAGGAAGAAGCCTGATTGGTATCCAAGTGATTCAAACATGTGTCGCATTCTCAGCACAAAGTGGAGATCTTCTGGTATCTGAAATATTGCCAGTCAGTCATACCAATATATTTAATATCTAGAGCGTTAATTGAGCCCAATATACTGTTCGATAAAAAACATTCTAATTCCAAAACTGAAGTTAATGAGTAGAGGCCTACAATGGTGCGAGGAAAATCGAAAGAATAAAAAATGGAAACTCACAATCTTGCAAGAGCCAAGCTGGAGAAGTCCATGGCCGGCTTGGATGACCGCTATAGTCTGCTCCAAATACAAAAGAAAAAAAAAAAAAAAAATCAGATTTTGGAAGACAAGCAGAACAGAAAAGAAAGGCGAAATGGGGGAGAGTGCAGAAAGGATTCCTGCCTGGATACCGGATGCGAACTGATCAGTCCATTCGGGAGGAAGCTGCAAGGAGAAGCAGAAGAGAAAGCTGAAAAACTATAATGATTAAAGTTTCAAAGCTGTAATCTTGTTTTGTTTCTGCGACCAAACACAAGCACTGTGTTTTCTTTTTTTTTTTATCAAAAAATCGAAGAAGTGGAAGATGAAGAAGAGAATCCTGTTCCTTGTCTCTCTCTCTCAGTGGAAAAGAGAACAAACCGCATCAAAGGAGCTCTGCCAGTAGTTGGAGATGTTGGGTTCGCATTCAGAAGGTTCTTTGAAGACCCATTTGTGACATTTATCAGAAGCGACTTTGCCCATCAGCCTGCTTTAAAACCAATCAATCAGAAGAATTTATTAAAAAGCACAAAAGTTAAAAATATCAGCTTTTGTTTCCTCGCCAAAACGCCCTTTTACGAGCCTCCACTGACATGTTGGGGGTAAATACTGAAGGGAGACCAAGTGAACAGCTAATATTACTTCTCTTTTAATGAGACTCATAATTGATTTACTATTACTAGTCATAAGAAGTGAGAAAATCAAAAACGACTATTCAAAACATGTATTCCTTCATTTCCAATTTGAAATATTTAACTAAAAACTGAAAATGAAAGCTTAAAATAAAGAAGCATTTCTGCGCTCTTTTCCAAGACTAATAATGACTAGTCTTCCAAGGGATATAGAATGCTAAGAACAGTCTATTTTTCCTTTCAGGAAATTAGAATAATTTCTCAAGTGCAAAACAGCTATACAGTACCCACCCTTCTCCATAATTATACAGTTGGATGGACATCTTGCTGAACGCTTTCCGGACTGGATCCTCGCCGTCGATCTCCTCCAGGCATTCACTCATCCTTGTGCGGCAGAACCCATCCTCCCACATCAACATCCTAAACGCAAAGAAGAAGCAAAAAATCAGAGCCAAGCTTCCTCCTTTTAGACGAAATCATGGCTAATACGAGCAATGGAGCCACTCACAAGCTTCCATTGTCATCCCCAACCTTGCATCCGTTGCCTCCTCTGCACCTACTGAAGAGAGGGGAAGTAAAAAAGCGAACTTTGAGTGGAATTACGAAGTGAAACTAGCTGGGATGGAAGGGAGGGGAGTAGAAGAAGTACGGGCGAGGGCGAATGGTCCAGAAGACGGAGTAAGTCCAGTCGGAGTTGAGGCAAACGTTGCGGAGAGCCTCGTGAAGAGCCATCATCCCAACTGCTTCTTTGCTCCTACTATCACCTCCAGTTCCCGAGCCCACCATTTCTCTTTCTAAAACCCCCCCTTCTCTTTGTATCTCTCTCACAATATCTTCCTGTTCCCCGCTTTCACTCTACCAGCTCTTTGTCACTCACTCGCTGTCTTATTTCCCTCTTCCTCTTTATTCTTCGTCCTCTTATCTACCATGTACCCCTCCAATTCTATCTCCGGCTCAATAGCCCCACCCTCACGTTAGCCCTGCAAGTAAAAGCTAAAGCCGCGGGCCCAATCTCTCTCTCTCTCTCTCTCTCTCTCTGAGTTACTTCTTACATCCGCACTCTATACGTCTGCATTAACGCAGTCCTATCAACGATTCTCCAGTGAGAGCTGGACGAAGGAGAGGACGCGGCAGAGCATCAAGAGAGAAAGAAGAAAAGGGTATTGGGAACCAGAGTTGTGATTGACAGCAGGAATCAAATATGACTAGTAAATTACCATGTTATCCACAGGTTAGGGTTGGAAAACAGAACACATTGGAAGTTTGGATTAATTATTTAAATTTAATTTCTTTTTTGTATTGTTTTATAAGTTGGTTAAATTATATGGTTTTTTTTTTTGAAATGATGATGTATAAATAGATATGGGTATATGGCAATTTTCACTAAATTTTTTTATCGAATGAAGCTGCCAACCAAAGTTGCTGAGTCAAGCCCAATTGTCGAAGTGAGTGAATCTACCCCACCTGCCGAAGCGGTTAAATCAAGCCCACCTATCAAAGTAGTTGAATCGAACTATTCTATAGATCCAATCATTCTCATTTTCCACGAAAGGATAGCCTAGCCAACATATGTAATGACAACTATCATAAGAAACCATAATGACTACAAATAATTCAATATGACTGATAAGAACACCCGTCAATCTCTTGTGAAAGACGTCGCATGATACTTGAGACTCATTCCTTTCACTCAGATATCGGGGATGGCCACCGTACCGGTAATAGCTGACATCAGTCGGCAATACCTGGCATCAGCTGGTAATACATGACTTCCACAACACAGTCTTTCCATCAAGACATCGAAGAAAAGCAACATACATTACAAAATGTAATACTTTGATTATTTTATTGATTTTATCGCTATGTATTAAAAGGGTAAGGAAGTTGATAGAGTGGAGATCTTCCTTTTTGTTCGATCCTCCTTTTGTTTCTCTCCCTATTTAGAGATTACTTTCCATCTCCATTATTTCTCTAATCTTGTAATCCAAGGAACCTTTAAGAAGCAGCCTCCCTCTGACTTATCATAAATCAAAATTCAATATATTTCATAACGTTCCCGCAAAAAACCCATCCATCTGTCTCTATTGCTCTCTCCATGATACAATGTTCTTTACTGGGTTATATGATACAAGACCCTAAATATTACAGAAATTCAACATCTGATAAAATGAAAGAAGATTAAATTATGGTGTAAATGATTCATTTTGTGTCATTATTTAAAAAAATATATAAAATTAAACCTAGTTTTTGAAGAAACATTTTAGATTTGAATATTTTCTTCAAATTTTAATACAAATGAATATAAAATTTATAGGATTTATTTTTAAGTAGTATAATTTATGTAAAATTAATTAAAATATATACCACATTTGTTCTAAAATAAATTCAATGATTTTGAGAAATACAACAACAACAAAACTTTATCTCACTAAATGAGGTCTACTACATAAATCTTTTTTCTCCATCGTGTCCTATTAGGTGTCATGTTTTCATTTAATTCAAATAAATTAAGATCATTTTCAATATGCTTAACTCTTTTTAGATCTACCTGTGCCTTTCTTAACATAAGTTGAATCCAAAACATCTATTATCCTAATTCGACGTTTAATGTGACCAAACCATTTACGACAACTCTCACTAATTTTGTTTTCCATTGGAGCTACACCAACCCTATCATGTATATATATATTCATTTTGCATTTTGTCTATAAGTGTAAAGTAATACGCCTTAAAATTAACTATTTTTATATATGTATTTCATGCCTATTTTAAGGATATTGCGTTTTAATGAAAGTTATTTTGTGCTTTTTTGACTTTAGGTGCAAGAAATGGAGTTTAAGAGAAAAAGAAGCAAAAAAGAAGCAAAAATGGGTCAAATGAAGCCAATGAACAAAAAGGCGACCTGGCGCCTAGGTGCCAATTCTAAAAGGCTGGCGCCTAGGCGCCATGGTTGGGCGCTTAGGAACCAAAGATAGTTATGCTTATATTCATGGAGTTTGGACGAGTTTCGAAAAAGTGCCTAAAGTGACCCTTGTTTATTTATAGAGATTTATATATAGGAAGCATTTCCACTTGTCCAAGAAGAGAGGAGGAGAGAAAAGTCATTTTTGGGTAGGTTAGACCACCATTGGGGTTGGCGGCCACCATAGTGAGGGTTTTGTGATTGTGAGTGTTTGTTGAGTTTTGTGTGAGTCTTGTTGAGTCAAGTTCAGTCAAAAAACTTCAGAGGATTATTTGGATAAAAGTTTGAGATAAGTATTTATACTTTTATTTAAGTTTTGTGTTATAAACTTGGTTTTAATTATATATCATGTTTTGTTTTGCTATCTCCATTAATTTTGAGTAGTTTTTTTTCTTTTTCCTTGCAATAAGAAGTAATCATGTGTGGGGTTAGAATATTTTGATGATTTCATTTACTCCAAAAATTTGTGATGATATTTTCTCTGATTCTTCATTTATCTTGCAAACTGATCATTTGTGATGTTAAAATCCATTGCAAAACATAACGGCTTGGGAGGGCTATGATTTCACAAACTAGTGAGTACCGCACTAAACCTTGGATGGATGGGGTGGATGTTACGTCTGAGGGGAGTGGAAATAGACAGGGGATAAGTTTTGATGAGCATAAAATTAATGATTCTAGAGTGACAAGCTACAACCTTTATCACTTTGGTCTTAGTTTAGAACTTGAGTCCCTGGTTGGTCCCGTAGAGAGGGTACAGTGGGTAATCTAGAAATGAGAGACTAGAATCTACTCAATACAACCATACAATCAAGAACTTAACTTTAGATTAGCCAATGTTCTTTAAGTACTTGAGAGAAGGAAATGAATATGTATGCTCCTATTTATCACAAAACCTTATTTTCATCTTCATGCATTTAATTTCTACATAGGGAGTATGGTGCCTCGGCACCATACATGGGGTGCCTAGGTGCTCCCATTAGAATAATTTAACATCACTTCTAATGGCGTTAGGGCGCCACATATAGGAACCAAAAAAACAAGAATAGAACCTCAATGCTACGAGGAGAAAATCTAAGACTAGGCAACCAACTTAAGGAGTTATGAAAGCTCCCTTTCTTCTTGAAAATCAAGAGTTATAGAAGAAAGAAATTTGAAGTCAGTTGCACTGATTTCCTCCACCTTGAAGAGCCTGACTCATGGAATGCCACTGAAGGAAGAAGACATTTAAAAAAGAGAGGCATAGAGTAAACTTGTAGCCTTCATCATGCTTTGTTGGAGGAATCACAAGAAGTGAGTCTGAGAGTGTGTATGAGAGCTCTCCTGAGAGAAAACAAGGGTGTAATTATTGTATTAAAAAGTGAGGAAAATCAGAGATTGAGTTGTATGCTTGTTTAATTTGGGTAAGAACATCAATGATATCATTCTAAACTATGTTTACTTTGAATTTCCAATGAAATTTATATATTTTTCATCCATTATGCATATGAATCAATTTATTTCTCCCATGAATTAGAATTTATGCAAATTAGAATTGACTTTATTATATTATTGTGTAATTTATATCTTAGGTTGATAGTTTAAATTTTTTGAATATAATTTACTCCTAAACTGATAACTTAGGAAGTTAAAATATGTTATGATATAGTACTATGAGAGTAGGTTAGTGAAATTAGTATGTTAACATACACTATAAAAGAATAGGAATATGGTTGTCAGCTTGGTACAATCATGTAGAAAAATTTATAAACACTAAGATTTTTGCATGGTGAAGTGACTAAGTATAATATGAAACCCAAAGTATATTATGGCCACCATGAGAGGAAAAATAAAACGGTCTTTCCTGATTATCAGTCACTTAGATAGATCTATTTGTATATGACCAATTCAAGACAAGTTTTTTTTTCACTTGTTTAAGCTAAAAACTAGTTTTATCTTTTACTTTTTGCAAAAATCTGGATTGAATGCTTTTAAATCATAAAATTTAAAACTTTCAAGCTAGACTCAACACTTATAGACTAGAAATATTTTAGACTATGGGAATTCACTCATTCTCTTGGGATCAATACATAGACACAATTATGTATAATATTTGGTTGCCACATATACTTTCGTGTATCACTAGTGCCTTTTAGTTGTATCAAGTTTTTGGTGCTGTTACCATGGACCACATTGAATTTTCAATTTTAGAAAAACTTTAGTTGAATTAATAAGTTTAGATTTGAAAATTATTATGTCGTACTTCTTTTGTAGTTTATTTGATATTTTAACTGTTAAACAATCAAAAATATTATTTTTGTTATTCTTATTTTGTACTTTCTACATATTCTCGTAATTTACTTCATTTTTTTAGTATTTCTTGGATATTGTTTTTTGTGCTAGTTTATGGTCTCACTTGCTAGTTCTAGGATTGTTACATAAGATTAGACTAGTTGAACTTGTGTCTTACGACCTTGAATTAGAGAGAACCTTCAAGAGAATCATAAAACATAAATGATAAAAAAAGAATTTAGGGGTGATGAAAAACCTTCAAAAAGAAAATATCATGTTTAGACTGCCTAGGGAATTTGCCAACCCCATGATTGATGAATTCCATGTGAGTATCAATAACCTTACCATTCAAGCAAACACATTTGAACTCAAACTTACTATCAATCAGACAACACAAAAAAATCAATTCAGAGACTCACATATATAACTTTAATCTCCATATAGTTAGTTTCTTAGAGTTATGTGTGATCTTTAGATAAAATGATATCTTAAATGATATTGTTAGACTTAAGTTGTATCTATTTTCTTATAAGGATAAAGCTAAGGATTGGTTAAATTATGTAGCCCTAGAATCTATAACTACTTAGGTTAACCTTACTAAAAAAATCATAGGAAAGTATTTCCCACATTTAAAAACTTTTAACTTAAGATTGATGTCACATTTTTTACTCAGTTAGATGGTGAATCCATTTATGAGACTTGGGAGACGTTTAAAGAGATGCTAGGAAATGTCCTCAGCAAGGCTTACTAGATTGTCTTATAATTTATAACATTTATAATTTTCTAGTGAGTTTGTTGAAGTCAATAATTGATGTTAAAATAAGGGATCACTCATGTCAAAGCCTTATAAAGAAGTTAATTTACTAATTAAGGAGATGTCAACGAATAATTTCTAGAGTAAACTTTAGGAAAATAGCTAGTGTCCATGACACAAA